ATTATTCTCCTTATTTTTCTAAACTTTACTTTTTCATACAAAATTCTGCATTCACAAGATCTTGATACACCTAGCCATATTCGAAGTTGCCTTCGCCCTAGACGTGAAAGGTTTTAATTTCTGAGGGTTTGGTCCCAAATCTCTCTTTCAATTATTTAATTTAATTGCTTTGTTTATTGTTTTCCTTGAAGTTACTGACGTGTGTATTTTGTTATTAGAAAGAGGTACGAGGCATCCAAGTAAGTACTTTAAGGGATTTTATTGATTAATTGATATTATGATGTAGAAATAATGTTTACATTGTTATTATGATATTCCTAGTATCGTGTCTAGGGTGTTTTTAATATTAAGCATGATTAAAAATATGATGCTTCCTATGTTCTTTCTAACATTTATGATTATGATTGATAATGATTATTTATTATGTTGCTTGATATGCATATTATTATATATTGTTATTGCTTGATCACCTTTTATTGCAGGTTAAAGGGAATTGGTATTTGCAATCACGCTTAATAAGATTATTAATAATCTTGTTTAGGGTTAATTGTGATTATAATTCAAGTGATCGCCAATAATAAATTTGTATGTGCATTAATATTCAACCAACATAGATTAAACAGGTTTAGGGTTAATCCTATTGATTGCATGTTAATCTATGTTGGTTGAATATAAATGCACAAACAAAACTATTATTGGCGATCACTTGAAATTATAATCACATTAACCCTAAACAAGATTATTAATTATCTTATTAAGCGTGATTACAAGTACAAATTCCCTTTAAACATGCATAAAAGGCGTGATCAAGCAATAACAATAAATATCAAGCAACATAATAAGTAAATATCATAAATAAAATAATCAAAATAATAATTATCATAATTATAATAATAATCATGTAATTATAATAACAATTATAGCAATAATAAAATTATAATCACAATCAAAACAATCATAAATCATATTAAAGCATAATAAAAATAGCAAGATCCTAGACATGATACTAACAAGATTAATAACAAACCCTATCATGTCACTAAGCAATACCAATCAAATCTTTAACCATAACATGATACTAACAATCCTAAATATTAGGAAGAGAATAAAAGACATCGCAGGAATCATAATAAGCATATTTGATATTATAACCTTTTCCCTAAACATGATACTAGGAATATCATAATAACAATTTAAACATGATTTCTACATCATAATATCAATTAAAACCATTAAAGCACTTACTTTGATGCCTCGTACCTCTTTCTAATAACAAAATACACATGTTAGTAACTTCAAGGAAAATAATAAACAAATAATTGAATTAAATAATCGAAAGAGAGATTTGGGACCAAACCCTCAGAAATTAAACCTTTCACGTCTAGGGCTAAGGCAACTTCGAATATGGCTAGGTGTTTCTAGATCTAATGAATGCGGAATTTTGTATGTAAAAGACTAGTTAGAAAAGAGAAAGAGAAGGATGAATGATTAAAGAGAAGAGAATGAGAGAGTTGATGAATGAAAACTGGTTGTAGAAAAGCTGGTTATTGATGAATGAAAACGGAGTTTTTACGACGTTATTTATAGAGAAAATCAGCCAAAAAGATAAATATCAAAACAGAGCATCTGGCGCACCAAAAACAGAGTTGTCGCCAACATTAGGCTATTGGCGCCAGGCGCCAATACTGTTTTTGACGCGTTTTCTAAAATCAGATAAATTTTGCCTTACAGGAGAATAAAATCGTATCTTTTCCTCAAAAATGTTCTTTGATTTTAATTAAAACTCTGAAAAGTCAACAAAAGTCAATTTATCAATGCTAATTGAATTAGGAATGAAAAGAACCTTCTAGAAGAATCTAGAAGACTAAAACCATTCCTAATTGCATTAGGTTTGATAAATCATATTAGGCCCTCTCCAAGATCATTGGGCCGCATATAAGGCTCAAACCGGGCCCAGTTTAGTAAATTGGCCATAACTTCCTCATTATTCATCGGAATTGGGTTTATAATATATCGTTGGAAAGCTCTCGTCAAGCCCCATCCAACTACACTACTATTGGACCCATATCATGGATAAACCAAACTGGATTGACTGTTTTCTTAAAATAAGTTTTCAAAAACAGAGAGAAGAGAAAAGAAATTAAAACTATCCGCAACACTAAACTTTCCACACTTTCACTTCATTTGATTATGATTCGACGTGAAAGATACTCATCACTGGGCTTGGTTTTGGAGAGACACAAATGGGTGTCTACAGGAGTATTTTAAATAAGAATCAAATATGAAACCTTACAAAAATCATAAATTGAAAATAGATATTAGTTTTGAAAGACTAACCGCAAAACAATATAAAGTAGCAAAGCTTACGAGGAGGTTCACGTTGAAAAGAAGGAGCCAGATCTTGCAGAAGCCATATCTCATAGTATATAACTCCAAATTGGGTGATTCTTGAGCCTAAACTCAAGAATCACCTGAGAGGAACAACTTTGTCTCAAACAACAAAAGGCTAAAAATGATCAGAAGTGGTTGAAAAATGGCCTGGAACATATACGGGGTGAAGTAGTCCGAAAATGGGAGGAAGAAAGAAGAAAAGAAGGATGAAGCTTTAAGAGCAAGAGACTTTTGGGTTAAATTGGCTGAACTTTGGTTCTATTTATAGAATTTGAGAACTTGGGGATCAAGTATTCAAGCTTGTAGAGGATGTTTATGAGGTCATGCTATTGACATCATGTATGATGTCAACAACTTGGAGGTCAAGTATTCAAGCTTGTAAAGGAAGTTTGTGACTTTGGTCATGCTTTAGGAGTAAGAAATGGACTTAGGTCCTTTGACTTGGAGCAAAGAAATACTCAAAGTAGAAAAATCTTATTTTCGGCTACTAAATTCCCGGCTTGCATATCAAAATCTTTTATAAAACATAATTTTAACAAAGTGATTTTCGTAAATTAAACTAAATAAAATTCTTTTGTATCACTTTAAAATATAAAAATATGTATTATTAATAAAGTATGACGTATTCAAGTCAAAACATAATTAATATTTCATAAAACGGGTTTAAAAATACGGGGTATTACATAATTGCAAATAACAATGACTAATAAAAAAAAGGTAAAAATAGACCAAAAATATTAGGAAATTTTGTGTAGAACTACCCTAAAGATAGGATCATTTGTAAACAACTACCCATTTTTTTATTTGTTTAAAACTATTCACAAGTTACAAAACGTTTGGGTAGTACTATCAATTAACGTTTTCCATCCAATTAAGACGTTATTGGTCTCACTTTTTTCACTTAATTAACTCCCCTAATTACCTTCTCTCTCCTCCCTAATTAACTTCCTCTCCATTCTCACTCAAAAATCCAAAAGATTATACTCAATGAATGGAACACAAATTCTCAATTATTCAAGTAATGTTTCACACTTTTCTTTTAATTCATTGTTTATTGTATTTGTATACAAGTTTAAATTGAATGCAATTAACATAATTAGGGTGTAAATTAGGGATTTGGATTAGGGTATATGGGTTCAAATAAATTTGGGGTATTTGATTTCTAGGGTTTAGAGGTTCAATTGAGTTCTAGATTTCATTTATTTTGACTTTGAGATTGAATTAAATTGCATTATAATTACTAATTGGCCATTGTAGTTGGTAGGATGTCTAATTGGCCATTGTAATTTATAGGATGCCTAAATTTGAGGGTTTTAATTTCTAGGGTTTAGGGAAAGTTAATTAGGGAAGGGAGAAGGTAATTAAGGGGGTTAATTAAGTGGGAAAAGTGAAAAAGTGGACCCCATTAACGTTTTTTTGGACGGAAAATGTTAATGGTAGTGTTACCAAAACTTTTCTTAACTTATAGGTAGTTCTTAACAAATAAAAAAAAAAAAACGGGTAGTTATTCACAAATGACCCTATTTTTAGGGTAGTTCTAGACAAAACTTCCAAAATATTAAAAACATATACTCAAAAGGTTAAATTAAAATGGCAACTTGATGCAATTTTCGGGCCACACACTAGTTAATCATTAACAAGAGGGATATGAAAGTACATCAAAGAAAAAAAAAAAACAATATATGCACATCAAATTGGAATCAATTCAAGCAGTCAAATATATGAAGGTACAATGAAGAAAAAAAAAACTCAATGTACCGTTAATTAGCGTATTTGACCTTCGACATCATGTTTCCTCACTCGATAACTTGTATTTACCAGAAAACACAACCTAGATCAACACATCTACTTAACCAAATATGCTTTCTGAAATGCATCTAGCAACTCGATCGATCTCATTGCATCATCATTCCCCTCAAGACACATTGTAATCGTTTTGACTTTTGCGCCTTCTCTTATTGATCGGTTAGGTACACAATCAACAACAAAACCAAAGGAAAGTTGGCACTTATTGGTCCCTATAATAAAAAGTGACGGAAGGAGTAGACAGTCAAACCTTACGTGTTTGCTCGAATTTTGGACTGGCTTTTGAAAAACCAGAAGTAGCTACAAAAATGTCAATCAACCATGGCCAACTGACATTATGGTTTCCGATTTTGAAAAGATTACTTGATAATGTAATAAACCTACCCGAAAACACAACCTCACACGTCGATGAGCTCCTTGGAAGCTTAAACAAGGAACTACAGAACATACGTTCTACTTGTTCAGACGATCTATCACTCCAGCAAACATTTAAGTTTTGCAGTACTTTTGCACTACCTAGAATGTACCTTACAAACTCGACCCAACCGTCACTCCCACCACGTCCCTTTATCTTCATTGTCTTGAGCTTAGTTATTAAACAACTTGGTACAATGTCCGGTGTGTGCCAAATTCTCTGATCCTCTAGGCGCAAATACACCGTAACGAGGATCACCCAAAGATGCTCTAAGTTGGGGAAGCATTGTATCGAAACCAACAATTCATTGCAACCCCTTAATACCAAACCCATTAAAGGTCACTTTCAGACGGACTATATTAGAATACATGGGCGGATTTAAATTCAACTAAGTGAATATATTCATTTGCCACTTCTTCACCACTAGCTCAAGTTTCCTAATACTAGACATTCCTTTGAAAAATTCGGAGAACCGGTGAAGCTCCAACTCATCACTATTGCCTTCAAATCCCGTATACTTCCTCATCAATAAGTCGATTCTCGCTTTGACTAATTTTGTTGGATTAGTACAAAATCTATAAGGTAAAACGCAACCATATGTTACAAGGTTAGTTAATTGGGGTGCATCGATAGAGAAATCCGGATAGACACCCGGCGTCGAATTTACATGGTAAGGGAACAATCCCAATACCAGTGACTTTAAATTGGGGAAAAATATATTCATCGATGGCATTGCATTTAGAGGCTGTTTAGTAGCCCTTAGAGTTAAATCCTCTAATAATGGAGAAGATTTATGTAACGAATGTAACCAAGGTGGCAGATAATTGAGAAATCGTAGCGAAAGCTTCTTCAAGTTCGGAAGTTGAATATCGACAGCTTCATATACATCCTCCCTTTTAAACGGACCACACAAATCTAAAACCACAATAGATCGACAATTAAGCAAACAATCAGGTATCGGAAATAATACATCGCTAATGACCTGTTGCACGTTTCGACGGCAATTATCACGAATACATGATTGTAATTCCTTACTGTAATCATGCTTATGGTGTAGGACCTCAAGTTTGAATACGTCGAGTTTCGGGGAAGTCAGATGTCGTAGGATGTTACTGAGTCTGTGTGTAGAAGGAGTCGTGCGGAATTGAATGCGAGTGACGCCAGTCCAGAGGTGGCGCCAACGGTGGGATAAGACGGAGGTTGAAATGGCGGATGTGATTGAAAGGCGAGATATGATTTCGGTGAGGATATCGTCTGGAAGTGAGCTCAATCGATCTTGGCCTCGGCCTTCGTGGTTGATATTGCGGTATGTAGACTCCATCTATATGCAATTTTGATCACTCTCTCTAAATATTGAGGGTTTATATTTTATATGGATAAAAAAAAAAATTCTTCTATTAAGAATAAATTTTTTTTTTTGGAAATTTTGTGAAAAACTACCTATTACATTTAAGAATTTGCGAGAAACTACCTATTATAAAAAATGTTGTAATTTACTACCTAAAATTTGAAAAATGTTGTAATTTACTACCTGTTGCCGGATTTTGTAGTTTGACCCGTTTACTCCGGCGTTGACTTTGTCACGTGCTACTCACGTGATACTTAATGAAGCTTTCTTTCCCAAATTTTCCCCAAATTGCTTCCCACTAATCCCTAATTCCACGATTTTTTCCCAGAAATCCCCAATTTGACTTTGAAGGCGATTTTTTTGAGCCAATCTCCTCCTCTATTGTGCGCGATTGAGGTAATTGTTGTTTAATTAAGTTTTTTTTTAATGAATTTCGATTGAAACCCTCTATTAATTGCTGGTTTTGTTCTCAAAGATCCGTTCCCATGAATTTAGGGTTTATTTAAAACGAAAATTGTGAATTACAGGTGCACGAATGTCTTCTTCTTCCAAAGTCAAGTGCAAGTGTGGAATTCCCATTGCTAGGGTGATGTCGTGGACTCATGAAAACCCAGGGAGGAAGTTTGAAGCTTGTAAGTTTTATAATCCTGAAACTAATCAGAGGGGTTGCAAATTCTTTCGTTGGGTAATTGAAGACGATGAACAGTGCCAATTTCGTACTTGAAAATGAAATTACAGTGAGAAAAATTACCAAATTAAGTTACTTGAGGGAACTAATTGAATGCGCTGGTGAATTCGCCATTAATTTTCATCAGAGCTCTGCACATCAATCAAATCAGGTTGGTTGAGGGAGTCGTATTGAAGGAGATGGAGTAATTAGGGCACAGTGATTTTTCAAAAATTTCGTGGGAAGCAATTTGGGGAAAATTTGGGAAAGAAAGCTTAATTAAGTATCACGTGAGTAGCACATGACAAAGTCAACGCCGGAGTAAACGGGTCAAACTACAAAATCCGGCAACAGGTAGTAAATTACAACATTTTTCAAATTTTAGGTAGTAAATTACAACATTTTTTTTAATAGGTAGTTTCTCGCAAATTCTTGACTATAATAGGTGTTTTTTCACAAAATTTCCTTTTTTTTTCGTGATAAACTTTCAATGTTTTCTATATACTACTTGATAAACTTCGTAGTATATACGGATGAAGCCCGTGCGATGCACGCTTGTTTGAATTTTTTAAAATATTTTTTTATATACATATTTATGTGTTAAAATTTGTTATATATTTAGATATAATTCCTGATATCAAAAGATAATATTTTATATGTAATTAATTTAAATCGGGAAATTTCATTCGCCAATTTTGCCTACGTGTCATTTAAATTATTTAATTCTAAAAGAAATTAATAATCTCGTATTTAATTGGTTACCACTTAAATGTATTACTATCCTACCTGGCACGCCGAAGAAATTAAATCCTACGCGACTCTCTAAAAACTCGGGAAAAAAATCCCCTATATATAACTCAAGTAAAATTTGTTTTTATAAGTACATCAAAATAATTCTTTTCCTTTAAAAAAAAATAAAAATTAATAGAAGTATTCTTTTTGTTTTATTATTTTTTTTTATCTAATATCTATATAAAAAAAAAGTGACCCTTTTTTTTTTTACAAAGCGACCCATATTTTCACAAAAGTGACCCTTTTTTCTTACAAAAGTGCTCCATTTTTTTTTAACAAAAGTGACCTATATTTTACCAAAAGTTACTTTTTTTTTTTTTTTTTTTACAAAAGTGACCCCTTTTTTTTTTTCACAAAAACAGAGTATCAAAATAAAACACAAAATGCAAAAGTTTTTGTTCTATAAATATGCTTGATCACTAATCGCCAAAAATACCCACCGCCAAACCACCAACCGGAATCCCACCCACCCACCCACCCACCCAGCCAACCCAAAACCCCATTAACCCAAGCCAACCTCAAGACTATTCGAAAACCCACCAAACCCGACATTGGGTTCGACGCGAAATTGGAGCAGGGATCGGAGTTCGACACGAATCAGGGGATGGAGGAGGTCAGCGATGCCAGAATTGGGGGATGGGGGGAGGTCAACGACGCTGGAATTGGGGGATGGGGGTGGTCAACAAGGTCGAAATCGGGGGAGGGGGGGGGGACGCCGGATCCTTGGGAGAAGCTAAGGGAGTTCGACGGTCGGCAGTTGGGAGTGGCGACAGGGTTGGTGGTTTGGCGGTGGGTGTTTTTCTCGGCGGAGGTGCGACTGATTTCGGCGTTGACTCCATTGCTTAGAGTTGATGAAGTTGCCCAGCCATGTTGGCCATTGGCATTTTCATGGGTAACATTAGTAAGTAGGCTAAGGCATGAAGATCAAAACTTCCTACAACCAATATATATACTTAACACTAAAAATTTTCTCGCCTAAATGCAAGGATGATGTCATCTTTATTTATTATTTTTTTTAATTTTTTTTGTAGAGTTATCATATTTAACAATTTTGAAATTTGAAACATAGAAGCTTTTTAAATTACAACTAAAAACTATGAATTCATCCTACAAAAAATAAAATAATTGTAAATAGCACACTAATAAATGGGCTCCTATATTAAAATATGTATTAGACCATGTTGAGCATGTATTATATCATGATTTTGATGAAAATTTAAAATTTTAAAATTACAAATATATTTGTACAAGATAATTCATATTAATATTATTTATCCATTTATTTAAATGTACAAATTATAAAAATAGATTTTACATATAAACCGTGCATCGCAAACCTAGTTAATACATAAATTAAGAAAGATACGAATGAAAAATCAAAGCATAAAATTTGATATATACTACTTAAAAGTATTTCTCTTGTCTAAGTGACTAAATGTAGCAATTCAATTGGAGTCATTGATTTGCTCGTTCTATTAGTATGTAGTGATAAGGCATTTGGTCTTTAACTAATCATTCTATTGATGAAATCAATTAATCAAAGCAATAAGGGATATGCACACATACATACCAAAGGAATAAAACTATATGTGTTCATCATATTGGAATGGAGACAAATCGGAATCGAATAGTACATAGTCGGCCGTATCTTCTATGTTTGCTTGAGTACTGAATTGTCGTTTGGTTAACCACAAGTAGCACCAAAAAATGTCAATCAACCATGGCCTATAATTGACATTATGGTTTCCGATTTTGAATACATTACTTGATAATCCTTTAACAAACCTACCCGAAAACACAACCTCACAATTCAATGAGCTCCTTGGAAGCTTAAACAAGGATTTACAGAACTTATGTTCGACTCGTTCAGGCAAATTATGAACCAAGCAAACATTTAAGTTTTGCAAAACTGTTGCTTTACCTAGAATGTACCTTAGAAACTCGATCCAACAATTATTCCTACCAAATCCCCTTATCGATATCGATATTATCTTGAGCTTACTTATTAGACAACTTGGTACAACATTTGGTGCACACCAAGTATTCTGCTCTCTTTCGCGACGATTTACTATCACCCAAAGATGCTCTAAGTTGGGGAAGCGTTGCAACGAAACCACAAAACTAGTGCAATCATTAAGACTAAACCCACACAAGGTCACTTCAAGCCGGACTAAATTAAAAAACATGATGGGCGGATTCAGATTCAAGTAAGTGAACATATTCCTTTGCCCCTCCATCATCACCACTAGCTCAAGGTTGCTAACACTAGACATTCCTTTGAAAAATTCGGGAAACCGATGAAGCTCCACCTCAAGGTCTTCATGTCTCAATACATACTTCCTCAAGTTGATACACGCTTTGACTAATGCTGGCGGATTAGTACGAAATCCATAAGGTAAAACGCAACCATATGTTACAAGGTTTGTCAATTTGGGTGCATCGATAGAAAAAATCGAATTGATACCCGGCGTTTGCTCTACATTATAAGGGAACAACCCTAACTCCAATGACTTTAAATTCGGGAAAATTATGTTAATTAAGGGTATTGTACTTATAGACTGCATAAAGTGTACAGAAGATGCGAGAGTTAAATCTTCTAATAATGGAGAAGATTTATGTAAAGACCCTAACCAATGAGGTATAAAAGTAAGAAATCGTAACGAAAGCTTTTTCAAGTTCGGAAGTTGAATATCAGCAGCTTTGTATTCGTACTTCATTTCATACGGACCATACAAATCCAAAATCACAAGAGATCGACAATTAAGCAAGCAATCAGGCATCGGAAAGAATATATTGCTGATAACTTGTTGCACCTTTCGACGGCATATATCATGAATACATGATTCAAATCCATCATCTTCTTCTTTATCATGCCAGTAGATTCTTCGTGAGACCTTAACTTTGAATACGTCGAGTTTCGTTGAAGTCAGATGTCGTAAGATACAACTGAAGTTGGGTATTATTGTAGGTATTTTAGTAGTGTGGAATTCAAAGCGAGTGATGCCAGTCCAGAGGTGGCGCCATCGATGGGATAAGACGGAGGTGGTGACTGCGGAATTGATTGGAAGGCGGGAGAGGATTTCGGTGAGGATATCGTCTGGAAGTGAGCTCAATCGATCTTCGCCTCCGCCCTCGTGGTTGGGGTTGCAGTTTGCCGACTCCATATTTGTGCTATGTGTAATTGCAATTGCAATTGCAATTGTACTTTCATATATATAGAATAAAATCAATCGAGTTTGTATGCAATCTATTTATGTTAAGATATGATTTTTGATTTGATATTATCCAGATATATTAGTTGCCATATAGAGATGTGTTAAGATTTGGATATTTGATCATATATAGCTAGGATTCTCTACTTATTTATTTCTATTATTGTACTCTATATATTTGGCCAAGAGCCTCAATACAAAGCGAGTGTTTTCAGCATAATTATTTTACAATTTAGATGATCAAACGTTTGTTGAATGAGGGCATTATAATCCGTAACAAACAAGATATATTATTGTGTAAGGTTAAAATTTTAAAAGATTAAAAAAAAAAGAGTTTTAATCTATCTAATATATATAAAGGGGACCCGAGTTTTAGGATTTAATTTTCTTATTACGCCATGTAAGATTATAAATTTAAGTTATAACCCATTAAATAAGAAATTATTAATTTCTTTTACAATTAAATAATTCAAATGTCATGTAAGCAAAATTGACGTATGAGATACTAAAGTTTAAATTAATTAAATACAAAATATTATCTTTTGAGATTAAGAATTTTATCTAATATTTTAAATCTAATATAATAACAAAAATCACATAAATATGAAAAATATTTTTTTTTAAAAATACTAACAAACCGTGCATCACACGGACTTCATCCAATTTAATTTATTTTAATAAACTTACAATTTTTACTAAATAAGAAAAATCTGGGACATTGTTGCACACAAATTCAATTGTGCCAAATTTTGTATTTATAAAGGTAAAATCATCAAGAGAATGTTTATGTGTATAAAAAAAAAAGAAGAGTATGTTTATGTGAGAGTTAATAACTAGTGAGTACTAAATAAGTAGCTTAATTACTCGAAAATCAAATACTAGAAACTAAGGGTGTTAAAAGAAGTGATAACTATGATACCTTATACTTCTATGAAAGATACCAGACAGAAGATGCTCCATCCTAACCTTCAGAAATGCTCAAGATTGTACAATTGAAAAATTTTCAAGTCGCTTACTAACTGAGAAGACAACTCGGAAGAAGAAGGAATCCTAAGATCTACCTTCACCTATAAACAAACTGTGTTAACAATAAACACCACATCAGATCAGATCACCAATATATAGTATTCATCAAGTAGCAAGGAACTAAATGAGTTGACAATCTATATTTAAGAAAAGATATGATGTAAGGCAAGGCCTCGTGCAATCCAATTCAGATGCTAATACTCAAAGACAAGATATATTTACAGTGCAGGCTGCATTATTGTGCGGAGTAAATGGGAATTAATCAACATAAACATGTACACACTACCAAACCTTAATATTATGAATCAACTATCCAAGAGTTCAGTGATCATGTTGCCTGCACTACCGAACTTTCTACTTTCAAACATATATAAAGGCAATGAGTAAGCTGAAACATGAAAGAGGCCAAGTTAATAAGTTCAATCTCATTTCATTGAAAGTATAGTTGATCCCCATAATATGAAACATGGATAATGGAAACAAGAGCATAGTTGAATAGATAAAGTAAGTTCAGATTCACAGTATTTATTTGAAATAAAAAAGGATTAATCAGTTAGAATGATTGTATTAATTGGTTAGAATGATTGAACGAAGGATATCTGTGTAAGAGATAATAGGTAAACATTAAGAATATACAAGAAGCAGAGTGTGTTAAAGAAGGGATCACCATGAGTCCATGACAAGCCATCCTCAGATCAAGTACCTCCTTTTCTTCTATAATAGGCTTATAATAAAGGTAAACTCTAGGTTAGAACATTTGGATATGAGTGCCTAGATAACACTTTATAGCAGACTGCATCAAATTTGGCAGAAGTACAGAAGTCTCCAGACCCTTCATAGCAGACTGCATCAGCAAAAAAAAAAAGTCATCAAATTACCAGTATATGAGCTTATCTCAACAATTCCTTAATCTCCCTTGTAGTTGGATATATTAGCAAATACTTTTCATCTCAAAGTCTCAAACTAGGGTTGTGTAAGAATATCTCAACTATGATCTCTTCTGGAAGCATCTTCAACTGTTCTTGATCAAAAATTTTTTGCAGACATTGTATAAAAGGCTTGAATTTGATCTTGGTTCAACTATCATTTTATTAGTTGACGTTTGTTTTAAGTTTTTTTGACAACAATGTATCTATATAAGATTATTTTATTTGGTAGTATATACAAAATCAAATAAAATATGTCCTTTTTTTTAACAATTGAAATGATTTTATTTCTTTTTTTTTTTCTATTGGTTTTTCGGCTGTTATTGATAAGCAACGATTACTTACCTTTGCAAGACTTGATGAGTCAAAAAAAAAATTTCATGAGTTCATGACCTTCAGTCAGGTTAGCCCTACCCCTCAAAGTATTATACTAGAGTAATGACATCAACTAAGAGATAACAGTGACATAATCTCAATCGAACGAAGAAAGCATGCAAGAAAATTTGAATAGTAGTGTCATACAAATTATGCAACTCTGTCTTCAAGAAACTCAGCAACCAGAAAAATCCACAATAATGTAGAAAGGATGCTACTTGAGTAAGAATTACATACTGCTTCACAGAGGAAAGAAGTCATTGTAGAGGTGGTGGGCATTGTACAAGTGGATAAAATAAAGGTAGTAAGAATCACAGGAAACAAAGAATGAGAGTTTCTTCTTCATTTACACAGAGCAATGTATGCAATCCTAAAGACTACAGATACACTAATTATTACGATTTGTTAATCTAATTTCACGACATAGATTAAAAAATTCAATAGGTTACCTAATCACAATGAAACTAGACAAAGAAACTATTATTGAACCCAAATACAATCTTAGGGATGTGTTGAATATGGGGCCAATCTTCTCCAGTGGATTTTTGGCATCTTTCTTTTAGGCGTGCTGAGTAATAATGAAATTGAAGTTCCCATTGATTCCAGTTCTGTGCAATCCCAAATATTAAGGGATTCAAGGGCAGTCAAGTAGCTTATCCAAATGGGCAGTTCTACCATCTCAGAGACACCACTCAATGTCAAGGAGCGGAGGGAGTGACAAAAGGGAAGCTCTCTTGATGGCACTACAGCTAGTACAGATAGACTTGAATTAGAGCATTGTATAATTTTTAACACCTCCAAGGCAGAGAGACAAGCAAAATTCTTGATGGCTTTATTCGCGCCACTCTGAAAATGCAGCGAATCAAGCCATGCCAAGTTGTCTATTTTAACCTTCTTGAAATTGGAACTGATGTCGATTATTTCCAATCTGTCATTGAAATTGGTTAATCCTAGGTGTCCCAATGCAGGACACTCCAGTATACCAGTTAAGTTTGGGCAATTCTCCACATATAACATTTTCAAATGAGGAAACCTTATTTGTCCCAAATTTTGTAGATTCCAACAATCGTAAAACTTTATCTGAACAAGATTGGGGAGAAAAGTTGCTAGGCGATCTTCCCTTGGCCAGCGTGGCATTCTCACGCCATGATATCCATACACATATAACTCCCTGAGATTAGAAGGTGGCTGCAACATTTTCATCACCGCTTCATCATACTCCTCCCTTCCCTCTGACTCCTCATCACTGTCATCGACATCAAAGATTAAATTTACTTTTTTGAGATGTTCCTTGTTAATCAGGCACCCTTCCTCCCTTCTTTCATTTATGTTATAAGTGCTTGCACTTGCTTTCATAAATCGGATACTGATACGAAGAGAACCTCTCAGGTTTCTTAGAGCTTTTAGATCTTCTAGCCCATCAAACACCTCCTTCTTACTTGTTCCCCCTACCACAAACTCATTAAGAGTGTGAAGGCAAGTCAACATACCTATGCCTCTTGGCATATACCTTAGCTTATTACAATCTTGTAAAGCCAAGACCCTCAACTTAACCATCTTCCCCAAACCTTTTGGCAACTCCTTCAAATTAATACAAGATCTAAAGTCTAAAGTCTGGAGATTATATAGTTTTGTAATTGACCCCAGAATAAATTCTAGACCACTATTGCAGTAGAGGTCTAGATACCTCAAATGTATCAAGTCACCTATTGAGCCCGGCAAACTCTTGATCCTTGATCTACTCAAGTCCAAAGCCCTTAAACATTTCCAATTAGCTACTAATAAATCCACACAAAGATGATCCATCGAGAAAAATCCATTCAAAAATTTTGTTTGAATAAATGAGCGTATATGGGTCTTATTAGAAAGATAATTTAAAGATTTACCTTGTACAATAAGATGTCGTACTTTTTTGTCCATGTTCCCATTCATGGCTTTCACCGTGCATATCTCCTTTCCCACGACTTCTTGAGCAACATCATGCATTAAATCATGTACCTTACATGACATAATATTACCATCTTCATCTTTGCTCACGTCTTGGAAAAAACATCTCCGCAACAAAATTGAGAAGTATTCTTCGGCAAGATCTTCCGGACTCTGAGGATCATTAAATGGGATGTAGCCTTGTGCCATCCAAAGCCTAATCAATGTATCCTTCTCCATCACATAATCTTTTGGGAAAATTGCACAGTAGCTAAAACAACTCTTTAATGTAGATTCAAGCTTATAGTAGCTAAGTTTCAATATAGGCATAATACTAACTTGGCTTTCTTTGACTTCTGCTAATCCCAGCTTCTGAATTGAAAGCCACTTGTTTTTTTCTTGCCCGTAGAGAAGACTTCCTACCACTCTAATTGCAAGAGGGACGTTAGCACATTCCTCTACAATACCTTCACCAATATTGACCAAGTCTTCGGGAGGATTGGAGTGTTGTGATCCAAATGCTACTCTTTTAAATAAACATAATGAATCTTCTTTTGACAAGCCTTTTAGCTCGTGCCTTAGACCATCTCCTAAAATTTGTGCAGTTACATGTGAACGTGTTGTAACCACAACCCAACTTCCTTTCCGACCTTCCATCAAATATTGCTTTAATGTATGCCATCGCTCAAAATTTTCAGTCCATACATCATCCAAAACAAGCAAGTACTTTTTCCCAGCAAGTTGTTCTCGGAGTTTCCTTTGCAACCAATCCATGGTACAACCCTCATTCATCTTATTACCCGTAGCTGAAGCTAGAATATTATCAAGAACCCCTTGCACACCAAGCAACTCCTGATTTTCATCAGCAACACAAGTCCACAACTTTAATGAGAATGCATTTGTGACTCTTGCATCATCATACACAAGTTGTGGGCAAGCGCTGTTTTTCCCAATCCACCAATCCCCACAATAGAAAGGAAAGAAACATCTTGTTGAACATTGGAATCAAGCAACACACCAACAATCTTCTCCAAATCAGGTTCTCTTCCAATGATATCAGCTTCATACACATAAGAACAGGTTTCAAGCCTTCGATTCTTAATAGGCTTGGGATCAATGGTCAAGCTGAACCGCTTATCATAAGCAATAGCATCCAGCTTATTCTTGATCCTCTTAACCCCTTGAGCCATATTGTAAGCAGTACCAAACTTGGTGAAAAGAGAAAGCACACGAACCTTGATACCCTTGGTGAGCTGCTTACGCTGAGCAAGAGTGACAAACTCATCGAAGAGATCATCGGCTTCATAAACAGCATCCTTGAGTTCTTCAATATAGAGCTGTTCTTGTTCGGACAGCACTTGCTTGGCCTCAGCATCCTTGAGCACAGCTTTGATTCTTACGACGGTGGCACGCAGTTCATCAAGTTTGGATTTGTAGCCAGCAATGGAACAAATCTCATTGAGCTGCGAACACTGCAATGCTGCAAACAAAGTTTGAGCTACAGACATGGCCGTTCCAATGTCCATTTCTAGTTCCAGAAATTTTCAGCGAGATACAGAGAGAAAATGAGAGTTTGTGAGAGAAGATGAGAGTTAGAAAGAGAGTTTGTGAGAGAAAGAGTGTGTTTTATTCTTAGTAATGGTGTTCATGACCACTGATAACAAGCTACTAATAGACCAAATTAAAAATGAGAGCAAATTACCCACCCAACATGACATCCGCATTTCATGGCAAAGTTCCACTAAATAATCTTGATTTAAGGTAATATAATGGAAGAACAACTCTGCTTTCAAGAAACTTGTGAATAATGACATGTAACTCCAAATAAAGTACTCTGTAGTTTCCCCTCCAAAAAAAAAAAAAAAGTACTCTGTATTTTATTTTTTTTGGGTTTTTCTAAACTATGCCCCTAAGGCAGTCGAGATTCTAAGGTGTACCCATGCTTTTTCAAATTTCTTAGTTGTGCCCCTCAACTCACTACCATTAATGAATGGTACCCTCTTTGGGACTTCCACGTCACCTAAAGTTAACTATAAATTTAATAAAAAGATGATAAAAGGTAAGGAAATGATACGGAAAAGAAATATTAACCACAACAACCCTAATAATGAAAACTAAAGCCACGAAATCACACTCTCAATTAAATTTTAAACAACTAATAAGGGTATATTTTAGTATTGATAAGAAGTTGAAGGGCACGACTTAGAAATTTGAAAAAGCATGGTACACCTTAGAAACTCAACTACCTTAGGGGTTTAACTTAGAAAAACTTTTTTTTTTTTAAACTAAATTATCTTTATTTTAACTTTGGCGAGTGATGGGTAAGGCCGTATGGGTTATCTTCTCTTGGTTGGCCATATGTTCTAGTGACGAATCACGTGTGGACATGGTGGAATACATGCCTTGTTTAATTGCAACTCTTACTAGGAAGTTGCAATTTAAAGAGTTAAAAATACAGAGTAAAACAAAGCAAATGTCTTTTCCCCTAAAATAAAATACGGGAGAAATTAAAATAACATGTGAATAAGAAAGAGAAATCATAACAATAAGTGCCAAAATCAGAAATCATACCGTAATTTCAGTCCAAACATTGTGAAACAAATCAGGAGCATAACAAGCATTCGGCAATTCCTTAATTGCCCTCTTTGTTGGGTTTAAAAACGGTGATCATCAATCTGAGTTTGGTAGCAAATGCTGTTATTTTGTCAAACAGGTGGTGTGCATTACTATTATATAACTCGGTGAAATACAAGAATGAATATAATTGGGAAAATGAGAGTGGCCTTTTGCTGGGTATTATAAGGTAGGATTGAGATGGGTTTTGATGAATTGGAGTTGAGTAAGAAGGGGTTTCCTTTCATGTCCGATTGGATTTTGAAGTTAGGCAAGACGAAGTACTTAAAAATCTGTACAATCAATAGTATTTCTTAAAAATAAATCAACAATTATGAGTTCATATCTAATGAAAAGTTATTGATTTACTTTAACGTATTTCAACTTGATTTACTTATCACCGTGATTAATTTGTATTCCCTTTTCTCATAACGAATTAACGATAAGGGGTGGAGTTACAATGGTACTTAGTGGTGCACGTGCAATACCAGCCCCAAAATTAACATTTGAAGTTCATTTAATTTTTTTTTTTTAAAAAATCAATCAAAGAGACCACCGTTTATTATAAATAATTGGTCTCTTAGATGCTATCAGTGTTACTCCTGTAGCTTTCTCTTAAATCTCACTGTTTTCTTTTTAAATTAAAAGAGACCGGTTATTATATCTTACAGTAAATAATAGCAATATCACTCCTTTTTTTTCTCGCTGTTCCAACTCTTTTTTTAATTAAAAGAGATCTATTATATCTAACAACTGGTTTCTAAGGTCATTTTACCTTTTTTTGGGCTACTATTAACAGTAATGGGTGTTTATTTGTTTGCTACATGTTATTAGTAGTACTTTCACTCTCTAAGACGGATTTTGTTAGTACTATTTAGTTATAATATGAATTTTTGCAATCAATTTGATTGTAATATAACTATTTATTGAAACTAATTATGAGCTAGACCAAGATTTATTTTCACAGTCGTGGTCAATAATTTGAAGGTGACTCACCATGCCGAAAATCCTGAAATATCCATTAATAAATGATAATCTTTTAAAACAAAACCCAACCTTGAAGTCAAATAAAAATAAAAAATTAAAAAAAAAAACAGCCTTGAATATGCTATGTAACATATGTTGCTTATGATGTGTACATTATTCTTGCTGTACATCATTGGAAGTTAAATGAAACGTAACAAATAAATTGGAACATTTAAATTAAGTTTGAATAAATAAATTTAAATAGAGATAATGATATTTAAACGGAAAAAAAATACATGTGAAACATTTTGTTTAATTCTATAAAACAATTCATTAAAATAAGGCAATAAAAGTACAAATTTTTTCAAATGTGTTCAGATGTTAGTACTCGAAGTCAATGTAAGCAAATAAATGCAGACTACTTGAATGTAGAAGGATCATAAAATCATGAAAATTTTGCGAACAACTATTGCAAAAGTTTCAACTTTTATGAACAACTACCTTTATTTTTTTTTTTTTCAAACAACTACCACAAATTTTGTATTTGTTTTGTTACCACTACCAGTTAACGAGGGACGTTTGCTTGCCGTATATGGGGCCCACCTTTTGTCCTTTTCCCTTCAACTATCGATCTCTCCTTTATATTAACGATCTTCCCCCTAATTAGATACTCTCTGTTTCTTTGAATGTTTGTCTTTGGAAAATTTCAGGGCATAGGTGAAATTGCTCACCTAAAAATCGAATTCAAGCTATTAGGATTGAAAAAACAAGTAATATTCGTTCATTTTCTTAATCTTTCTTATGATTTCTGGTTAATTGTTAATTTATTTGTGTATTGAATGAATTAGGGTGGCCTCACATGCGGCAAGGAAACGTCCATCGTTAACTGGTAGTAGGGGTGGCAATATCATCCAAACCCGATGGATAACCATCCACCCGATCCAAATATATGGATGAACCCGAACTTAACCCTACAAGAAAATAACCTTTTCGTAACTATTTTATTAACCTTTAGTATCGATTGTAATTGCAACAAAAAGCTTTCCCAACGAATGGTCATTCGATACAATATCCCCCGTTGTCTTAGCCTTTAGTAGTGGTTTTCAATATCGCTGGGGTTGGCCTCAATAATCGATACAAAAAACTACATCCAATTGTGGTGATTATTGTAGCGATTACAATCGCTATAAATGTTTAACTCATTTTCTTCAAAAAAAAAAAAAAAAGATTTCCCAACGAATGGTCATTCGATACAATATCCCCCGTTGCCTTAGCCTTTAGTAGTGGTTTTCAATATCGCTGGGGTTGGCTTCAATAATCGATACGAAAACCTACATCCAATTGTGGTGATTATTGTAGCGATTGCAATCGCTATAAATGTTTAACTCATTTTCTTCATAAAAAAAAAAACCCCGTTGCAACAAAAAAAAAAACATGCGCATGATCTTTACAAGATTCGAACATGCAACCTCAAACTCTTATATTATATGTTTCACCAATAAGCTATGACATATTTTATGTATTCTTTGTCAAACAATATTTATATATCTAGTGTTGAAAAGGCTTTTCGTATCGATTTTTAGGATTTAGTGGCGATTGTAAATGATACGATTTCTCAAAATTATATAAATATGTAAAAATAGTGTGGATATGTATTATTATGTTTTCCGTATCGATTTTATATGGGAAAACCATGGCGATTGTAAAAATGATACGACATCCTTAATTATTTCACAAACATACTTGCATATTGTAGTGAATGTACAATCGCTATGAAATAATCGCTACGAAAAGAGATTTTTCTTGTAGTGTAAGCGGATGACGGATGGATGATGGATGCATGGATCGGGTGACGGATCGGGTCGGATACGGATGATGATACATCCAACCCATCACCCGATCCATCGCCCGACGACCCATCCATCCACCCGTTAAATTTATATATAAAAAAAAAATAAAAAAAATATCCTTTTTAATAATTTAATGTCTATTGTAGTGTTAGGAATTGACATTTGTTTTAATTTACTTAAAAGGAACAAGTATTAGAAAGATGTATCAAAGTTTTAATAAAATTGATCACTTTTTTTAATCATGAAAAAGAAAAGTTATATTTATATATTTATTTCACCCGAATTATCACTCGATCCACCCGATTCATCCATGGATGACGGATGGATCGAATGTGGATGAAAAAAAAATTAGGTGATGGATGGGTCGGGTGATGGATGGATCGTTGGTACGGTGGATGGAGGCGAATGAAGCATCACCCGACCCACCTCCGATCCATTGCCATCTCTAACTGGTAGTGTTATAAAAATAAATACAAAATTTGTGGTAGTTGTTCGCAAAAAAAAAAAAAAACAAAAAATAAAAAAATAATGGTAGTTGTTTAGTTGTTCTCAAAATTTCCTAAAATCATTCAAAATTATTCAATAGTACTGAAGTTTTTATTCCCAAACATAGAGATCAGACAAGTTGAATGCTTAGTAGCATAATAATCAAGAGTATATTGTAAGTGGCATGAGTTAATTTGGTTGTTTAATCATACATTTGAGACTATATATATAGTTGGTCCACATATCTTGGAACATGGACAATGGAAATTAGAGCATCCTATTGAGATAGAACCAGTACCAGATAAATCATGATTTCATGATTAAAAGCAAAGACTTCATATATATGCAAGGGAACTCAGCAACTAAGCTACATCGGATGCAAGTTGTCATAATGATTTGATTAGTAAGTCCATAATTCTTAGACATTAAGTCCTTGATAATAAAGGATTTTTGCTAGCTGCTTAGCGAATCCCCCCATCTAGGACGATAAAAGGACTTAGAATTGAACCTCGGAACATCTAATGGAAAAGCAGTATGAACAAATGGAGTAATATCATTAACAGAATAGATTTAAAAAAAAAAAAGAGCAAAAAAGAAAGAAAGATAAAATCAAGCCATCACAAGAATTCATTTCATCATATAGAAGCAAGTAATATGTATTCTATATATAAAAAGCGAGTTTTGTAGCAAAAGGAGTTATTCTATCGAATTACAAACGTATGGCAAATTTCTTGGCATTCAAGTCGTAAGGAATTAACAAGCAGCAATTATACAGTTGAGTTAGCATACCAAAGCAAATGCATAAGATATTCTTATCTAACATAAAAATCTATAAGCAAGGAAATTTAAATTGTAATGTGACACTATGTTGGTTCTTGTACCCAGACAAGTTGTAGGCAGTCGTACCTTTTATGTAGTATGTAGTCAGTCGTACGTTATATGTTTGCTTGAATATTGAATTGTTTTTTGGTAAAACAGAAGTAGCGCCAAAAAATGTCACTCGACGATGGCCTACAATTGACATGCTTTTCAATTTTGATGTTGGTTCTTCAAATTCGGAAGTTGAATATCGACATCTTTGTATGCATCATCCTCCCTTGCAAACGGACCAACCAAATCCAAAATCACAAGAGATTGACAGTTAAGCAAACAAACAGGTATCGGAAATAGTATACTGCTAATGACTTGTAGCACTTTTTGACGGAAAGTATCTTCGTGATTATGCGAGTAGTTTAGGACCTCAAGTTTCGGGGAAGTCAGATGTCTTAGGATGTAACTGAGTTTGAATGTACTAATAGTGCAGAATTCAAGGCGAGTGACGCCAGTCCAGAGGTGGCACCAACGGTGGGATAAGACGGAGGTTGAAATGGCGGATTTGATTGGGAGGCGAGAGAGGATTTCAGTGAGGATATCGTCTGGAAGTGAGCTCAATCGATCTTGGCCTCGGCCCAACTCCATTTATATGCAATTTTGATCACTCTCTCTAAAGATTTGGCTTTCTTGTTAATTTCAAAGGCCAGGTTGTTTTTGTTCGACAGTTCGAGCATATACATCTATATATATACGATTTAGATGAACAAACGAATATTGAGGCTTTATATGGAGTAATCCTAATCCTAAGTAAATACAGAGTACTAAGTACGAGTACCTTCTATTTTCAAATAATCGAATTTGTGAAAATAATATTTAAGAATTTTATTACTGATAAACTTTCTATATTTTCAATATAGTTGAGAGAAGTGATAACTTCATAACTATGATAAACTTTCTATATTTTCAAATTTCAATATATACCTTATATCGTATAAAAGATACAAGACAGTAGCTGCTCCGTCCCAACCTGCGAGAAATGCTCAAGATTGTACAATTGGAACATTTTCAAGTCGATGACTAGCTGAGAAGACAAGCTTAAAAGAAGAAAGAAATATCCGGATCTACCTTCATCCATAACAAACTGTGTTAACAATAAACACCGTATCATCAAATCACGAATATAAAGTATTCATCAAGTTTGCAAGGAACTAATTAAATGACTTGACAATCTTTTGTTCAAAATTTACCATAGTTTCTCTCTCGTAATATGGAATGTAAATAATGAATCAAGTAATAATAATAACAAATCAATCTTTTAAACAACAAGTACCACTACATGTATCGAGAGGAGAATCATTTTGATTTTTTATAACTCATGTATTTTGACCGGGTGTATGATGAAATTTTCACACAACAAGTACCACTACATGGAAAAGGAAGAAGTTAAGATTGAATTTTCACCTGATCACAAGATATTACTAGTAGCATTGAATGTGGGATTATTTACAAGTCTCTCTATGAATTGAAGCTCCCTGCAACTCAACAAGGCTGACGATACCAATTTTATTTGGAATGCCATGAGCTACGAAGCCATGAGATATCATTAAATGGTCCTTGTTCTAAGTTGTATATCACCATGTTCTCATTTATACTACTTTTCATTCATCACCAGCATCAAATATTATCCTCCTGTAAACAAATTGGCCAAAAACGCAAATCAAAGTCCTTGAAAGAGATGTAATTCCTTTAAAAGTTGTTCATCATCACAAACTTAGAATTGCAACAAGCTTATTCATGTCATTTGGCTATCGTAGGAGACTACAATTACAAAAATAATTTTGATTTGTTACACTAATTTCACACCACAGATGAAAAAATTGAATATAGTTTACCTGATCACAATGTAACTAGATAGACTATATACGCCTCTTACACGAATACACTTATACTTTGAATGAAATCAATCCCAATAGCCAGGACCTTCGATATTAATGTTAGGGATGTGTTGAATGTGGGGCCAATCCTCTCCAATTGATTCTTGGCATCTTTCTTTTAGGCGTGCTGAGCAACGAAGTCGAAGTTCCCTGAGGGAGGTGAGTTTGGACATCCAACTCGGCATTGATTCTGCTTTGCAATTCCAAATTGTAAATGATTCAAGGGCAGTAAAGTAGCTTATCTGATAGGGCATCTTAGAGACATACATTAATGTCAAGGAACGGAGGGAGTGCCAAAACGGAACCTCTCCACTCTGTATTTATAGCGAACCAAGCCATGGCCCGTTGTCTATCTTAACCTCCCTAATATTGGAGTGAATGTTGATGATTTTCAATTTATCATTGAAATCGATTAATTGTAGGCTTTCCAATGCAGGACACTTCAGAATACCAGTCAGGTTTGGGCAATATTTTAGGAATAATATTTTCAAATGAGGAAGCCTTATTTGTCCCAAATTCTGCAGATTCCAACAACAATAAAATTCCATCTGAACAAGATTGGGGAGAAAGGTTGCCAGGTTATCTTCCTTTGGCCACCGCGGCAATCTCATACCTTGATATCTATTCAGATAAAACTCCCTGAGATTAGAGTTAAGTGGCTGCAACATTTCCATCATTGCTTCATCATACTCCTTCCTTCCCACTGCCTCCTTATCCCAATTAAAATATAATTCTACTCTTCTGAGATGTTCCTTGTTACCCAGGCACCCTCCTTCCCTACCTCCATTTATTTTATAAGTGTTCGCACTTGTTTTCCTAAACAGGATATGAACAGAAAGTTTACCTGTCAGGTTTCTTAGCGCTTTAAGATCTTCCAGCTCGTCAAACAAGCTGTTCATACTTGAGCCCACGATAAACCAAGTAAGAGTGTGAAGGCAAGTCAACCTACTTATACCCCTGGGCATATACACTAGATCAAAACAATGGTGTAAATCCAAGACCCTCAACTTAACCAGCTTCCTCAAATCTTTTGGAAACTCCTTCAAATAACAACAATAATGTAAGTCTAAAGTTTGGAGATTATATAGTTTTGTAATTGATCCTGGAAGAACTTCCAGCTGCCTATTGTTTGAGAGGTCTAAATACCTCAAATGTATAAGTTCACCTATTGAGCCCGGCACACTCCTGATATATGACCAACTCAAGTCCAAAACCCTTAAATACTTCCAATTTGCTGCTAATGCATCCGCACAAGGCTGCTCCATCTTGGAAGACTCAGACAATAATTCAAAATGAAGAAATGACCGTATGTGGGTCTTACTGCAAACATAATTTGAAGGTATACCTTGTACAGCGAAATGTCGTACTTTTTTGTGCATATCTCCGTTCATGTTTTTTATACAGCAAATCTCCTTTCCCACAACTTCTTGAGCAACATCATGCATTAAATCATGTACCTTACATGACATAATATTACCATCTTCATCTTTTCTCACGTCTTGGAAAAAACATCTCCGCAATAAGATCGAGAAGTATTCCTCTGCAAGATCTTCCGGGCTCATAGGACCATCAAATGGGATGTAGCCATTTGCCATCCAAAGCCTTATCAATGTATCCTTCATCATCTCATAATCTTTAGGAAAAATTGCGCAGTATTCAAAACAAGCCTTTATGGGAGATTCAAGCTTATAGTAGCTAAGCTTCAATATAGGAATAATGCTAATTTGGCTTTCTTTAACTTCTACTAATCTCAGCTTTTGAATTGAAAGCCACTTATTTTTTTCTTGCCCATAGAGAAGACTTCCCATCACTCTAATTGCAAGAGGGACGTTACCACATTTCTCTACAATATCTTCACCAATCTTGATCAAGTCTTCAGGAGGGTTTGAGGGTTGTGATCGAAATGCTACTCTTTTAAATAAACACACTGAATCTTCCTTTGACAAGCCATTTAGCTCGTGCCTTAGACCATCTTCTATGATTTCCGCAGTTCGACGTGAACGTGTTGTAACCACAATCCAACTTCCTTTCTTACCTCCCTTCAAATACTGTGTCAATGCATTCCATTGCTCACAACTTTCAGTCCACACATCATCTAAGACAAGCAAATATTTATTCTCAGCAAGTTTTTTTCGAAGTTGGTTTTGCAACATATCCATGGTGGAGCCCTCATCCTTCTTATGACCCGTAGCTAATAGGATCTTATCAAGAATCCCTCGCACATCCAGCACCTCCTGATTTTCATCAGCAACACAAGTCCACAACTTTAACGAGAATGCAGTTGTGACTCTTGCATCGTTATACACAAGTTGGGCAAGTGCTGTTTTTCCCAATCCACCAATCCCCACAATTGAAAGGAAAGAAACATTATCCTGGACATTAGAACCAAGCAACACACCTAAAATCTTCTCCAAATCAAGCTCTCTTCCAATAATATCAGCCTCATACACATAAGAGCTTGTCTCAAGCCTTCGATCCTTAATAGGATTAGGATCAATGCTCAAGCTGAACCGCTTATCATACGCAATAGCATCCAACTTATTCTTGATCTTCTTAACCTCTTGAGTCATATTGTAAGCTTTACCAAACTTGGTAAAAAGAGAAAGCACACGAACCTTGATACCCTTGGTGAGCTGCTTACGCTCAGCAAGAGTGACAAACTCATCAAAGAGATCATCGGCTTCATAAACTGCATCCTTGAGTTCTTCAATATAGACCTTTTCTTGTTCGGACAACACTTGCTTGGACTCAGCGTCCTTGAGCACAGCTTCAATTCTTACGACGGTGGCACGGAGTTGATCAAGTTTGGATTTGTAGTCAGCAGTAGAGCATAGCTCTTTGAGCTGAGAACACTGCAGCGCTGCAAACAAAGTTTGAGCAACAGACATGGCTGTTCCAACGTCCATTTTTGGCAGCAAGAACTTTCAGAGAGTGAGAATGAGGTTTGTGATGGAAAGAGAGAATGAGGAGTGAGTGACTGAGTGATAGGAAATTTTTGGAGAATGAGAAAATGAATTTTGTGATAGAAAGAGAAAGAGAGCAAATAAATGTAATCTATTCCTAGAATTTTATAAAGTTGGCTAACTTTTAAATTCGACCAACATTTAATCGTACAACTTATCGACACATACGAGATAGAAATCACAAACTCTAATAATGTGATTTTAATTATACTATGGTGTTGAGCACCAAAATTAAAGAACACTAAACATTATTAAAGTAAAGTTTAGGTCCCAATATAAAAGAAAACTTAATGGTTTGCTGAGGTGTTGTAGGAATAATGGTGTTAGTAATCCACCCCGACATGATATCCGCATATCATGGCTAGGATTTACTCAAAAGCAAGCTAAGGTTGTTTAAATAATGCAATGTTTTTGTTTTCCAGTTGTTTAAATAACTTGGTTACGATGAATCTTTTACTAAATAATCTGGGTCTACATTGAATGGCTCAACTATGATATGGGTGACGATATTTGTATTTTATAACCTTATAGGATTGAAATATGGAATGGCTGTCTCTTACTAATTGTCGTATAATACAAGTGGCTGATCACGTGCAAATATGGTTCAACCTTCAACGTGAGCCTTGTCTTTCTCTAATATGTTGTGATTTAAAAAATACAGAGTAACATAAAAAGAATGAAATACTAGCTAGCTACAACGCGTGCTATAACATGTGATTACGAATTTGAACATGCTGCATCAATTAAACAATAAAGTCCAACCAAGTTCACTTTTATTACTACGTATAAAAGATATAAAGAGTAAAGACTAAAGAAAAATCATACGCAAGTCCAAAAATGGTGGATCATCAAGAGGATAAGGCGAGCTTGGCAACTTCATAATCTCCCTTAGCTTGTTGTTTGGTTAATGACTAAAACTAATCACACAATTAAAGCCTTTTCGACGAAGAAAACAGTAATGATCAATACTGAACTCGGTAGCAAATGCTTAACCATGAAAGAAATGGAAAGCGGATGTGAATGAGTTAATCATAAACTTCGTAATGTATTGGGAGTTATTCAATAACATGAACTCATTATAATGTACCAAGATCAACTAAATTATAAGTATAAAGCATACAAAATTAAAAGAAATTTAAAAGTACCTGAAGCTTGGTTGCAAATATTGTTGTTTTGTCGAACAGTTGGTGTGCATTATATATGAAATTTTGTGAGAATTGGGAAAGTATGAGTGAATTGAGGTTGGTTTTAATGATTTGAGGCAAGAAGGAAATGCAAAGTCAGTTGGAGTGAGTACTACGATCTGGGAGAATAAACAGGACAAGAAAAGGTTTTTTTTTTTTTTTTTTTTTTTTTTTTTGGGAGGAGACAACAAAGAGATTAATGTTTGCATTTTCATAATGTTACCCTTTTAGTCTCAAACCCATTCTCGATTTATGAACGATTTCGTTCCCCCAACTTACTTAAAATAAATGATTCTCTATTTGCGTCGGTTTAAAAACTAAATTTTATCATATTGTTCACGTAGGATTGGTGGTAGTTTTTTTTGTTTAGTGAAGAACCGTTAACGGTAATAGTTATTCTATACAATAAAACCGCTATCATCGTTAGCGATACTTCAAGAAAAAAAATATAACAAAGTTACCACCAATCCTACGTGGATAATATGGTGTAAATTAGCTTTAAATCCAATGCAAATAGAAAATAATTTTTTCTTTAAGCAATTATAGGGAAAATCGTTCCTTGATTTTTTGAATACAAAATAGAAATCTGAAAGAAACATAATGAGTAAATCTTTATTTTATCTATTAAAAAGCGTTAACGATACAAAATATATGTTTTTTTTCTTGAAAAAAAACGATACAAAATATATGTGATGTCATCATGTGTCATTCTTTTTATCTTTTAAAGCATTTATAAATATTTGACCTTACTACTATTCTGCTTGTTTATCCTACAAAATCATAGTTAGCTTGGAAAAGTTGATTAGTGCTTTCTAATTAATTTAACATAAGATTGTGATATTTTTTTTTTAGTTTAACTTAAACTACTTTTAAGTTAAGTTTACATAAGAAATGACATCCCTTTAAAAAAATTAAAAAAATTGTGACGTTTATTTTAGTTAAGTTTACAATTTACACACCAATTTCATCAATCTACTAGCAAAATGAATATTGCAAGTTATATTTATGTTTTCAACAAACTAAGGGTCTGTTCTCATACGATAATTTTCAGTTCAGTTCAGTTTCTAATTTCCTTCTCTTATAAAATATTCAATCCAATTCAGTTCAATTCAGTTTTAATAAGTTTAGTTCAGTTCAGTGTAGCTCATTTCAATCAATGAGAACAGGGCCCTAAGGCTACTAAGTTGATTGCTCATACTGCAAGTTATATTTATGATTTCAACAAACTATGGCTACTAAGTTGATTGTCGAATCCTGTCAAAAAAAAATGTTTTTATTGCATCCAGGATTTAGGGAATGGGGGTATGAAATTACGTTTAATAAAAAAAACAAATTACAAAATACAAGGTAAAATGTGCGTAATAATTTTTTCCTAATTAAATTTTGAGTTAATAAATCATTTAATTATTGTATTAATATTTGCGTGTACTAAATACGTCTATACACCCTATCTTCGAACAATAAGGGTTATAATTAAGTTATAAATATGTGGGAAAAAAAGAAAACAAAAATCATCCAAGAGACCTATTATTTGTAACAGTAGATCTCTTTATAAGAAGGGCTAATGTTCGTGGAAAATATAAACAATATCACTTAAGATACCTGTTTTTGTAACAATAGCTCTCTTTGACCAAAAGTACTAGTCTGGCGCTTCTGGCGTGGAAGATATTAAAAATCACCTAAGAGACCAGATTTTTACATAGGCAAACTCTTTAATTTAACATAAAAAGGCGGACTAATTAGGTGTTGCGGCAAAGTACATAACAGGGCTGGATCAAATAAAAGTCGAGCAGACACGGTGTGCAAACAATATAAATCATTTAGGATTTGCTGATCAATCTAATATTGACACTGAATCAATTATCAAGCCATATCCAAAGTTACTAAATTCTTAGATGACAATCATTTTCAGGTTGAGCAGGACAAATAATGCACCCAAGTTTGTACACTGCACAAATTAAATGAGCAAACAAAAATAGTGAATAGGTTAGAATTTTGGAAGGCTTCTGCTAATTATTTGATTTAAAATATGTAAGCGTTGTACAATAGAGCCGAAGTTGTATACTTCTTTAGACGAAAACAGAAGAAAGATTGCTCTCCTGTTTATTTGATGAGAAATATGTACGGGTTGTACATTAGCACCCGAGATATATTTGAAACTTGAATCCTGTAACTCTGATTAGTCAAATAAAACTGAAATATGCTGAAAATGTAGCACTAATGCTGAAACAGAACCACATACAGAGTTACAGTTGACACTAAAATAGTGTAGTTGCTTTGTTCTCTTTTATTGTTGAGAATATAAATTGTGAATCATGACCAAGGAAGCACATTCGCGCATATAATAGTATGGAAGGTCATTGAAGTAACACCTAATTTTTGGGTAAGAAACATTGCGGATGACCAATTTACCTTCTAATTGTTGAGCTGATCTGATAACTGAATTTGGTGCGCGAGCTAAGTAAAGCAGCAAAATTTTGATGCTAGTTGACTCTTTATAGTACAGCAAGCCCCTTTTAGATATTTGTAAGAGTGACAAAAGTAGAATCAACAAATTCTTAATGAGAAGCCAAAGTCCAGGAAAGTAAGGGAAAATCAGAGTGCTTATGTGAGAGTTCAAAACGAGTACGAAAGTCAGGAAACATAGCGTGATTAAACTGGAATCTAGCAGATTCTTCTTTGGATTTTAAGAGAAATGAATAATGATAAACAGATAATTTAAACAGATTACTTTGTGGAAAGAAAATTTTGTAAGAGAAATTATTTTGATATTTAAATTGCATTATTACAGCTCTATATATAGTACAACATTCAGGAATAAAATTTACAAGCTTAACAGATTTTTCTGAGCTGGACTATACAACTGCCTTAATCAATGCAGAAGCAAATGAGTTATTCTTTCATGTGATGCTGATGACTAGTGACGATCACCGAAAGCAGCAGAATTAACGATAGCAGGAGCAGCAGCATGACCAACAACAGCAGCAGCAGCAGCAGTAAGAAGGTATCACCATGGCAAGCCATCCTCAAAGTCCTACTTTCTCTTCTATTAAAAGCCATATAATGACGGTCATATCTACAGTACAGAAGATGCTCCAAACCTTCAGAAATGCTCTAGTTTGGGGAATTTAGAAATTAGTGCCTCTATTAAAAGAGAAACAGTATCTATTAAAAGTGAGATATGCAACAACAAAAAGAAGTCATTTCATTAAATAGGTGACGGGCATTATTCAGCTGTGTTGTACAGAGGAAATGAGAATACAGAAAACAAGGATTGATTGATTGAGTTCTCTTCATTTACAATTAACAGAGAAACTAATAAAATGTGATTGCAATGTGATCTGAGGATGTGTTGGATGAGCCGATGATCTGAGGGGCCAGTCCTCTCCAGTTGATTGTTGGCATCTTTCTTTCAGATGGTTGGGGAGTCGAAGTTCCTTAGAGATCGAGGTGAGACTTGATATCCATTTATATCAAGGGCTTGGAGGGCAGTCAAGTACTGCATCCAATTTGGGCCTTTGTGCATTTCTCTCTCCCAACTATTATTATGTATTGTCAAGGAGCGGAGGGATTGACAAAAGGAATACTTTCCCTCTACTTCTGATTTACTCAGACTTTTACAGTTATAAATTCGCAAATCCTCCAGTGTAGAGAGATGCTCTAATCCTTCAGTAACTATACTCTTCAAATTGTAGCAATTCTCAATTTTCAAGTATTTAAGCGAAGATGAACAGCAACGGAACACCTCCCTAGCTTCTCCCAAACTCTCCACTTTCTTGTCCCCATTTATGACAAGCTTCGAACCATCACGAAAAGTGTTCATGGGCAGTAAATTCAGCCATGCGACGTTGTCTACTGTAATCTCCCTTAATTTGGGACCAATGTCATCAGATGAGTCCACTGATACTGGTAAAATTTTCAATCTTTCATTGAATACAAATAAATGTAGGTATTCCAAGGCAGGACACTCTGGAATAACTGTTAGGTTTGGGCAACAACGCACTCCTAATTTTTTCAATTGAGGAAGCTTTGATTGTCCCAAATATGGCAATTTTGGACAATTTACCAATAACAAATGAATAAGATTAGGGAGAAAGGTTGTCAAGTTATCTTCCCTGGTCCATTGTCGCATTCTCGCACCTTTATATCCCCACACATCCAAACTCATGAGATTAGAATGTGGCTGCAACACTTCCATCAGTGCTTCATCATTCTTCTCCCTTTCATCTTCCTTGTATCGAAATCATAGTACATATTACCAAAATTAAACCTCACACTTTTGAGATGTTCCTTATTCCGCAGGCAGCCTCCTTCTTTTCCACCATTTATCTTATAACCACTTGCACTTGTCTTTATATATTGCATATTTACATTAAGATAACCTTTTAGGCTTCTAAGAGCTTTTAGATTTTCCAGCCCATCAAACACCTCTTTCTTACTTGAACTTGTATCTCCCACCGCAAACCAATTAAGAGTGTGAAGACAAGTCAGGTTACCCATGTCTCTTGGCATATACCTAAGCTTATGACAAAAGTTTAAATCTAAGACCCTCAGCTTAACCAGCTTCGTCAAATCTTTTGGTAACTTTCAAATCTCTACAGCAAAATAAGATTAAAGTTTGAAGATTACCTAGCTTTGTAATTGAACCCGGCAGAACTTCTAGACTTTCACTATGTGTGAGGTCTAGATACCTCAAATGTATCAAATCACCTATTGAGTCCGACAAACTCTTGCTCTTCGAGAAACTCAAGTCCAATGCTCTTAAGTATTTCCAATTAGCTACTAATGCATCCAAGTTCACAATATTGTAAATTACATACTCACTGAATTGAAGAAATGAACGCACCTGGGTTTAATTAAATGAGTAGTTTGTATTTGTACTTTTTGTGACAGCGAGATGACAAACTTTTTTTTTCACATCCCCGTTCATGGTTTTCACCTAACAAATCTCATTTCTCATAACTTCTTGAGCAACATTATGCATTAAATCATGTATCTTACATGATCTAATATATCCATATTCATCTTTCTTTACGTCTTGGAAGAAACATTTATGCAACAAAACCGAAAAATACTCCTCGGCAAGATCTTCAGGGCTTTGATGGTCATCTAACGGAATGTAGCCTTGTGCCATCCAAAGCCTAATCAATGTAACCTTCTCCATCACATAATCTCTAGGAAAAATTGCACAATAGCCAAAACAGCTTTTTAATGGGGATTCAAGTTGATAGTAACTAAGCATCAATGTAGGCATGATGCTATTTTGGCTTCCTTTAATTTTTCCTAACCCCATTTTCTGAATTGAAAGCCACTTTTGTTTGTCTTGGCCATAAAGAAGACTTCCTATCACTCTAATTGCAAGAGGGACGTTCACACATTCCTCAACAATATATTGGCCAATTTTAACCAAGTCATTGGGAAGGCTTGAATGATTAGATCCAAATGCTACTCTTTTAAATAAACACCATGAATTTTCTTTCGACAAGCCTTGCAAATCGTGCCTTGCACCATCTCCTATGATTTCCGCAGTTCGATGTGAACGTGTTGTAACCACAATCCAACTTCCTTTTTGACCTCCCATCAAATATTGCTTCAATGTATGCCAGCGGTCATAATTTTCAGTCCATACATCATCCAAAACAAGCAAGTATTTTTTCCCAGCAAGTTGTTCTCGAAGTTGTCTTTGCAATGCATCCATGGTAGAGCCCTCATTCATCTTATGATTCATAGCTGAAGCTACAATCTTATCAAGAACACCCCGCACATCCAGCAGTTCCTCATTCTCATCAGAGACACAAGTCCACAACCTCAAAGAAAATGCAGTTGTGATTCTAGTATCGTTATACACGAGTTGGGCAAGGACAGTTTTCCCCAACCCTCCAATCCCCACAATTGAAAGGAAAGAGACGTTTTTTTGAACATTAGAATCGAGCAACACACCAATAACCTTCTCCAAATCAAGCTCTCTTCCAATGATATCATCTTCATACACATAAGCACAAGTTTCAAGCCTTCGATTCTTAATAGGATTAGGATCAATGCTCAAGCTGAACCGCTTATCATAAACAATAGCATCCAACTTATTCTTGATCTTCTTAACCCCTTGAGCCATATTGTAAGCTGTACCAAACTTGGTGAAAAGTGAAAGCACACAAACCTTGATACCCTTGGAGAGCTGCTTCCGCTCAGCAAGAGTGACAAACTCATCAAAGAGATCATCGGCTTCATAAACAGCATCCTTGAGTTCTTCAATATAGAGCTGTTCTTGTTCGGACAGCTCTTGCTTGGCCTCAGCATCCTTAAGCACAGCCTTGATTCTTAAGACAGTGCGACGGAGTTCATCGAGTTTGGATTTGTAACCAGCAATGGAGCAGATCTCATTAAGCTGAGAACACTGCAGTGCTGCAAACAAAGTTTGAGCTACAGACATGGCTGTTCCAATATCCATTCTTGGTTGCTGAAGTAGACAGAGAAAATGAGAGTTTGTGAGAGGAAGAGAAAAGGATAAGAAAGTGATAATCAATACACAATACCGAATTTGATTGATGGCTTAATTCCGCATAATAATTAAGGTTGTTAGTAGTACTAACTAACCTGGGTCAATGTTGAAGGTATAAAAAATGATCTGGATTACGTGTGTGCATGTGGGCTAGTTAGTAGAATTTAATACAATGTCAAATTTTTAATATGAATGAGAATGTTGTTAGTGAGCACTGACAAATAAGCTAATAATTGACCAAATTAAAAATAAGTGGGAATGGTGTTAGTGACTACAACATGATATCCGCATTTCATGGAACATCAACTCTATTTTCAAGAGATTTGTGAATAATGAAATGCAACTTTAAAGCAACTAGCCTACAAAGGTATGGGTTAACTTATCTTGGTTAGCCAGGCCATATATTTATAGTTGTTCCGGACTTCCGGTATAGTAGCGAGTTATCTTCGGATAGGATCACGTGTAGGCATGGCGGAGCACATGATAAAGGAAACTTATCTTCTCAAAAATTAACTAATAACATGTGATTTGTGAATCAGAAATCTTATTTTATAACAGTTAAAAAATAAGAAATCATACCCAATTCAAGTCCAAACATTGTGTATCGGCAACACCTTAATTAAAACCAACCCATCAATCGCATGAAGCAATTTCAACTCAGCAAATATTCTCATTTTGTGAACAGGTGGTGTGCAATATATAACTCAGTGATATATATAGGATAATCAAGATAATTGGGAAAATAAAATGAATATGTGTTTTTCTTTTGTTGTGGCCTTACAGTATTTTGTTAGGAACTTGGGATTGGGTAAGAAGGAATTCTCATTGGATTTTTTTGGTGAACTGATTATTTTTTTAAGAAAATTTGAATATAACTATGGTTTGGCCAACTGATCAAACTCAATCTCCCCAATTTCAGTTTCAGAAAATTCAGAAGCATCCATCACAGACATGAAGCCATTTTAACACGAAACGAGGGAAAATTGTACTCCGTAGTAAATATCAACAAAATTTATAAAGAAATTGGTAGTGTGCATTATTATTTTTAGAACAAATAGAGGGAATAAAGAAATGGAAAGCGAGAATGATCGCATGATAATGTACTCCGTAGTAAATATCAACAAAATTAATAATCTTAAGTATAAAGCAATCAAAAGAAATTCAATAGCACCTAAAACTTGGTAGCAGATGTTATTTTGCCATATGACAATAGCAATTAAATTACCAGCTTGATTGCATTTCTACAAATATCAACTAGATCATCGGTATGAACCACAGGAAATTAAAACACCTCACAATTCACACAATCACATAACAGTGCGTGGGAAAAACATAACTGACACACTTGGGAAGGTTCTTCTCAAAAGAAAGCTAAGAAAAAACGATCATAGCGTCCTACAAAAATATAAACGTTACAAGTCTCTTTTGGGAGAACAACTCTGTCTTAAAAAAACATGGCAACATGTACTTTCACAATCACGTACAGAGTAAGAAAGCATGAAAATTTAGAAAGAAATATATACTTAGCTGTCATGCGCTCCCTAATAACTGACATCAAACAATCTTTTGTAGTCACGCAACAAGGAGAGACAAAGCCAGCTCCTCATGAAGCTGCCTCCAACCCCAAAAACATCTGGAATGCCATAAACAATGAAATCCTTGATCTCAAATTGAACATATTAATTCCTTAGCAGTGGTCTCCTCGTGTATCACCAGCACCATTTGTTCCCTAACAGAATACAAGACTAATCATTGGATTATAGCGAAATATCAAAACTTTAGTCCAAGACTCCTTAAAACCATAATATTCATCATCTAGGCAGCATTACACACCCATTGGTTATAACCATGAACTTTGAAGGAAACCCACAAAAGTACCCTCCAAGCAATACAAGACAATCAAACACAAGCATCTTCCAAACAAAATCAAGCACAAACTTCTCTCCATCAACCAAACAAAGGTTTGGCACTTTGAGAGACTTATCTTCCGTATAGACTCACAACATCAATGAGCTAGCTGTATTTCAAATGATGCAGCAACTGCATATCACCAGACTCTTCAATCTTTTCCTCAGTATAAGGAACAAAGCAAGGATCCTTCAACCATATACGTTTATTTTGTTTCTTTCATTGTGAAAGTTCAAAAAAAGAGCACATTATGCAATAAATGGCCTTAGCACTTAGCAGTACAGAGTACATAGGCATACATTGGAAGATATTTGTGAGATTTAGGAAGCAAGAAATCTTAGCAACAATACACTTGAGCTATCCCCAAACCTTAAAAAAAAAATCACCAGCATTATGGATCATAGAAAGTAACTTAGAAATAAATCACATACGAGGGCCTAGAAAACCAAGTTTACAAACATGAGGGCTAGCTAACAGCCAAATAACATGCAGCCATTTGATTACCAGAAACACCAAAATTATGCAAGAGCAATACAGCATAAGCAAAAAAATACTCCGTATGTTCTATACAAACTTCTCCATGACGAAGTAGCTACTTACTAACTTAGCCTTCTTCCAAAGCTTCAATATTCTAAACAAGGCGAGACAAGGCTCTCTCCATGAAGGTCCCTCTAACACAAAATCCATCCGGGATGCCATGATCATACTGAGAACTCTCAGCCCTCTTCCAAGTATCATTTCTAACAGAGTACACATTAATAAACATCTCAGTACAATAAGGTTCATGCTCATTATCAGTGTCATAATACGAAAGCATAACAATCTTATAATTATCTGTAACTGAATCATACCCAAGTCCATACATGGTAAAACTAGCATAAGGATCAATAGCATACCGCGAACTCAGCAACTCCTTCATCTCTCTTGTTGTCGGGTTTACCAACAACATCTTGCTTTCCTCGTCACAAACAAAGACTAAACCATCACAAGAACAAACATTATTAACAAGGGTCGAACCAAAACGATGATCATCAAAACAGAGCTTGGTAGCAAAAGTGGTAATTTCGTCGAACAGGTGGTGGGCATTATTCAATTGGGTTAAATGCAGGGAATGGAGTTCCTCAGAAACTAGGATTAGTGATTGATATTGGTTAGGAAGATGTTTGGTTCGATAAAGGTGGGTTTTGATGAAGTGGGGTTGGGTTAGAACTTAGAAGAGATTTCCATGGCTTTGAAACACACCGTAATCGGCCAATGGATTTAGCAGGTAGTCGTGAAAGTATGTCAAATAAGATTTCTTCTTGATGGATCATCTTTGGGATTTGTGAAACTGGTGGTAATCTCCCAAGTTCAATACGAATTGTTCAGAATTTCAGATGACTGAACGCATCAAATCAATAAATAGTTTAATTTGAAGTGCTAGTACAATCAGTTTTGGACTTTTGGTGGATTATTGTTTTCATTTGGATGAAGAAATTAATCTTACTTCGTAGACCGTGGTTGTTTACTCTAATTGTGGGCTCCATGAGGTCTGTTCAGAATAGACCTGGCAAGTGGTCATTCGGGTCGAGCTGGGTTGGATCACTATCACGTTAGGTCAGGTAATATTCGGGTCGGGTATGGGTCGAGTCGGGTCAATTCAGATTTCGAGTATGACTCGGGTCAATTTTGGGTCGGGTCAATTTCGGGTTAAATACATTCGGGTCAAGTCAAAATTTGGTCGGATCATATTCGGGTTTGATCAAAATATGGTCGGGTAATGTTTGGGTTGTTTCATTTGTGGATCAAGCTCAAATCAATAATTTTATACGGAGTATATATTTTGTTATTGTAACTATCAATTCAATTGATGAGCTTAGCTACGGTTGTATATATACAATTGAGTTATTTTTGGCACAAGAAATTTTTAATTCAATTATAAGGTAATTTTAGTTCAAGACATTTCGGTATTGGGTCTGTTCGGGTATCTAGTCTGTTTGGGTCAAACACTTCGGGACAATTAGGGGCCGAGTCAGTTCGGGTGTCGGGTCAACGTCAGGATCGGGTCAACTCTATTTTCGGATCAAATATGGGTCGGGTCGGGTCGGGTCAATTTTGGGTTTCGAGTCAATGATTTTTAGTCAATTTTGGGTCATTGGGTCTGGGTCTGGGTCAGGATTGCCAAGCCTAGTTCAGAGTGCGGTGTAGACTCTGGACTGCACCAAACCGAAATCATTGTGCAGTTTGATATAATTGGCGGATTTAATTTTGTGGTGTGATTTGGAACTTTGACCAAATTGGTTTGCCATTTTTGTGTTATCGGCACGACATTGACGACATATAATAAAATAAGTTATTTATCAATTTTTGTGTTATCATCTTATCGCACTCGTAAATTTTTTTATTATATGAATTGTTGCTTTTTGCTAAATAATACAGAGTAATACGAAGTATAATATTACAACAACATAAACATAAATAATTAATAAAGTTATTTAAATATACTCATTAAAAAGTTATTCAAAACAAATATTTATCGATTTTTATTTAAAAAAATTAAAAATTGAAAAAACCGAGGCGGCCTGCTGCACGGCTAGCCACGCACGTGGGCCATGTCGTGCCATGGTTTTTTTATATAAACTGCTACATTCAACTAAACCATTCGTAGTCCGCCCGGTAGGGCGAGTCTCTGCTCGATATGTCGCGAGAGCAAAGGAAAATTAAATGTTATTACCGCCCGGTAAGGCCATCGTGGTTGGACACGAGAGCACCCAAAAATTTTATGGGTTGCTTGGTTTCTCTTGCCTGGCAGGGCGCGGAGGGCAATATTGATGTTTATTTTTCAGTTTTGCTTGGTTTAATTTATTGCTCTTGATATAAATATGATAGTTCATATTGTTGATATAACTTCAATAAATCAGTTTTATTCTCATTCTCTTGAAACCTTTTGCAAGTTATTGTTCATCATCCAAGTTACAATTGTTTTTCGCTGTATCTCCGAGTAAATTTCCGTGATACCCGATTATAGTTTAGGGTCGAAATTATACTTTTGGGAAAGTGATCTCGTTCACGCCTCGAATATTTTTCTGTTAATTTCATTTGCAATTTTCTTTGTCACCCTTGTAAACACAAAATCCCCAACAAATAGAGGGGTTGCATTGAATGCGGGCCTGTGGATTGTTCACATACAAGTCTTTCCATGAAGCTCCCTGCAACTCAAGTGTTAAATGAAAACAGAAAATCCCTAGATCTGCTGAATACGACTAATCAACTGTCTACTAACATCCAGCCTTAAGATTTGACTAAAATTTAAAACTGTATTTTGCCAAACAAAATTAAAATTTTATAGTCAACAGAAATGATCTTTGCTTATTAAAATGAATTAAATCTATATTTACTAATAAAATTGTTCCTGCTGAATTATGCTTCCGTTAATGTCCCAGGGCTGGTAATGGTTTACCGTCCAATTGCTCACCTACACAGCCAATACAGATTAGCTAGCCCGGGGGTTATCCGGGAATAACCACTCCGATGCTAAAGTCAGGATCTTTGTGAGAAGAAAGTGAAAGAAGAGAGAGAAAGTGTTTTAGAGAGAGAGAGAGATTCTACCTTTGAAATGAGGATTTGCTTGGGTATTTATAGAAACACAACCAAGCAGGTGCCACCTATACAGATAGGTGGCACACCGACCTTGTAAATAGCAGGTGTCTACGCGGCACCAAGCAACTCTCCACGTGTCAGAGGGACATGCCACGTTCCGAGAAGCAACTCTCCACATGGCAGAGACTGATGCCGGTAAGGACATGAATTATTCAATGATTAACGAGGGTTTTAAACTGCACGACACTCTTTTACCGGCATATTATAGATGCTATCGGTATATCCCGTACAACTAGCCCCCCAAGTGAGGACGTTAGTAAAACTGACGTGCTCACTTGCGATGGAACACGGTGCTGGTACACAATATACCATACAAGAATGATGAGAAAACGAAAAAATCTACGATTTTGGCCCCTAAGTGAGCAAATTGACGATAGTACTTTGCTCAATTTAAGACAAAAAAATCTACGATTTGCCCCCCAAGTGAGCAAATTGCCGATAGGACTTTGCTCAATTGAAGACGAAAAAATCTACGATTTGCCCCCTAAGTGAGAAAATTGCCGATAGGACTTTGCTCAATTGAAGACGAAAAAATCCACGATTAGCCCCCCAAGTGAGCAAATTGCCGATAGGACTTTGCTCAATTGAAGACGAAAAAATCTGCGATTTTTCCCCCAAGTGAGCAAATTGCCGATAGGACTTTGCTCAATTCAAACTAAAACCGAAAATAGTAGTGAATATGGTTTCACTTTATTTGAATTTTTCCCCAGGATTTGGCGGGAAAATTAATAAAATAATGGGGCACGTGTCAGCCATCAAAGTAGGGTGTTTTTGAAAAGGCGTTTTATTACAGCCGTTGGATCGCATGCAGTAAATGTCACATCAACCGCTTCATTTGGACAGTATAAATAACGAATTTCGTACTTTTGACCCTTAGCTTCATTTCCTCTGCGAAAAAATTTCGAAAAATTTCTACTTCATTTCGCTCGTAGCACGCACATATTTCTGCGATTCAGGGGTCGATTTGTCAAAGGTTTGTTCAGTTGTGTTGTGACCGGTGTTTGTAAACGGAGGACACTTAATTCCTGAGTTACGCTTTCAAGAGTTGAGTTCAAAAGAGGTAAAAAAACCCTAACTTTCTTTTTGATTTCTCTCTGGTTTGTGGTTAAGTAGATTTTGCGTTTATTTCATTATTTGTGAATGTCTGGTTCTGGAATGCATGCAAATACGGGTAAAGCCAATGAGGCTGAACTCTGTACACCCTTAACTTCTGTAGAAGAAAGAGAAGCTTATTACCCTCATAAGTTTCTGGCTGACGCCGAGAAGGCTTTGCGTCCTACCAACCCCGATATTCCGGAGGACACAGAGATTGCCGATGTTGAGCCTATTAGCGTTCGTTATCAATTGAGGTAAAATTTGGATTTATTTAATCAATACGGCACTAATATTGACAGGATGCCGAGAACAAAACACACCAGTTACCAACCTGAGGTTGGTGAGAGCAGTAGACGCTCTAGTGGGGGAGAAGATGGTGATCCTGGGCATGAAGCTTCGGATATCAGAGAAGAAGATATCTTGTCAGTAGAGGAAAGTTTGGAACGACAAGGAAGTAGGGGTGAAAGCATTGGTGATGAGGAAGATGAAGAGCAATCATAAAGGCTTGGGGAGGGAGAAGATGATGACGAAGAAGACGAGACCGACGAGGATGTTCGGGCCGACTTCAATCTTGCTGCTCAGATTGCAGAAGAGGAGCGACTCGATGAGGAATACGACTCAGATCAAGATGATCCTAAGTATCTAGAACCCCAAGAAATTCCCAGCAGCTATGAGATAACTGAGTCAGTTGTGGATCCGATATGGTTGCAGACAGCCACCGAGAAAGACTATTGCCGACATGGCAAACGCTTCTACCGTCTTCCTGACGGCTATGAACTGAGGCTACCAAGCGAAGGTCAAACGGCTTTGGATTGCCCTGCCGGCCACATTGTCGTGTATGCAAAACATTTAGAATTTGGTTTACGGTTTCCACTTCATCATTATATCGAAAAAATATTCAGGGCTTGGAACGTTTCAATTGCACAGTTAACGCCTCCAACCATCCGAAATATAGTGTCTCTTGTCTGGGTTATGATATTTATGGACTTTCCCCTTACCTTGAACTTGTTTCGGAGATTGCACTGGATCAAGAGAGATAGCCAGTCACCCGGATGGTGGTCCCTTTTTACCGCTCCCGGTAAATGCACTGTGTGGCCAAAATTGACCAGTTGCAAGAACTGGAAGAAAGAATTTTATTTTATGAGTGTTCCCGACGATTTTACCGTCCGTAGGACATTTCATCACCCACACAGCATGTTCGAGACCATACGGTCGAGAGCATTAGGAAAGATGGAGAAAAAAGCTTTTAAGTGGTTTAATTGTACATATGTTAGTGCTGGTAAGAAGAATAAAGCTGTTCCGGGGGTGTGGCTACCCCATTGTAATTATATACTGGGCAACGCCCCTCTTTCTCATGTCGGTCTCTGCCATACCGATGCTTTTGGTATGGAAACATTTATAAATTATATACATTTGCTTATATTTATCTTTACTGTACTCGTGATTTGCCTTTTGGAATTAATTTTGATAAGTGTTTTGCCTGCTTATTCTCTTACCTGCCTGCGTGTATTTTACTTACACTTGTTTTAACGCCCAAGTTTACCTTTACGATGTCGGTTTATTGACATTTATTATCGGTTTTTCTTCCGTCAGGTATTGACAAACTTGACTTCAGCCGACTAGGGTTGCATCCTGACGGGAGAGTGAAGCAACAGTGCCCGGATCGGCCAAAGAAGTCATACGACACCCTGCCCAATTTCGCCACCAGAGCGTCGAAAAGAAAAAGAAGAAGACAACAAGATATGGCTCCTAC